AAAGGATCTTTAATAACAGATATCGGCATTAATCCTCTTTTTCAGAAGAATGCATATCTCACTGAGTTTCTTGGTGTTCTTCATTCAAGAGTTCTTGGCATTCTTCTGTCGTCAGATCAGTTTCAGGTTCCATTATGAGCTCTTCAATGTTCTTTATTTCTCAGATGTGATTTTTGTTACTCCTTTAGTTGTTTGAGTCTTCTTGATTATACGGTACCTTTCTTAGATAAGATTGAACTGTGGTCTGCTGTAGACCTGTTCAAGCCATACTGCCCAGCAACATCAGGCATCTTCTGTCCACTCTTTACCTTTGCTATTAGACACTCACCTTTTGAAAATAAAAACTGACGCAAAACATAATGAGTGCTCGCCTGACAGTCTCATGCATACTATAAAAGAATTGTTTCTGTCAGAAAAATAAAAAAACTGGAATTACAAGGGAGAGTTTCAAAGTTCAGAGGAATACTATCTGATTTGTATATACAGTAGAACCCCTCTAGTCCGCCCTCGGCTAGTCCGTTGCTCTGGTTAATCCGACCGTGGTCGGAGTCGCGAAACTTGTCCCGACTCGTCGGTGACTCACCGTCCGTGGCGTTTTTCTGTGTTCGTTACAGTATATGTTTTACATTGTGTGTTCACAGTTTGGTGTGTGTTTTCAACATGTCAGGAATGAAATGTAAACACGTTACTCTTTCATTAAATGAAAAATTAGCGGTGCTACAAAGACTGAACAAAGGGGAAGATTGTTTATTTTACTTTTTTCTGATAATCCGACCTTTTTTGCGTTCCGACCATACCCCCAGTCCCAAAGGTGACGGATTAGAGGGGTTCTACTGTACCGGGTTGAGCGTCAGTGTCAACATCTTCTGTGCTCCGAAAAGTTTCAAATTGTTGCCTGAAGACAAAAGAAGACCAATTGGTATTCATTATTTTACATCGCTTCTTCTTGTGATTGTTTTGTGAGGTGTTCATTGTTCGAACATAAAAATCTTCTGCGACAGTGTTCGTTATCCAATTTGTTCCTTTACTGATCACCCAATGTATTATGAATTTTAGAGAAAAGTCTGTAATACTCTTAATAATTTAACATTGGTTAAAATTTTTTTGAAATATTTGAGTTCTACGAATCTCTCACTATTATTATTCACTCTCTCTTTGAGAGCAGGTGTTAATGAACTGATTTAAAAAAAAAAGTGATAAATAATTTTAATTTAATTGTGGTATTATTTATCATTTTTTTTATTTTAATAATTCTGATTGTGTAACAAAATAATTTTTGATTTTTTTTCCCAGTTTATTAATATTTTATAAAGTTCAGGAAATTTATTAAGAGGCACATTTAATTAATGTATACTTTTGTACATGGATTATACAGGATTTGTTAATGAATAATAAATAATGGCCTTTTATTTTTTTCAAAGCCACATAGATTTATGGTTGCGGATTAATAACAGGATAAACTATTTCAATTTAATAAAACATTATAATTTTAATTATTCAGCAATTATAAAAATTATGTAACTGTTAATTAGAAAAAATAAATAATTACAAAAGTCAAAGAAGCAATAGCATATTTGCATAGTAAATCATATGCTATTTTGTTTCATCAATGTGCTGTATTGTAAGGGACGTGAGGTCAGGGAAAATCATGGAATTTAAAACAAAAATTTGAGTAGGAACCCTGTATATGGTGACAAGTTTTCCATGAAAATTAAAACAGATTTCATAAGTTAATGATTTGTATTATGGTACAGTTTGTTACTTGATCAAGATTAAAAGAATTTTAGATTGTATATTATGATTTGAATTTTATATATTTTTGTGATAATTAATATTGTTAAACTTGAATTTATAATTTAATGGTTTTGCTTAATTATTGAAAATAGTTGCAATGAATATGTCCATTAATTTTTTTTTTGTAAAGTCACTGTTACACACAAATTAAGAATAAAAAGATTTTTTTTTTTTTGCATTTCTTTCTAACAATTTTTATAGAATTACAAGTGATGATCCAAAATTGAGTTACTGGCACTTACTACAGGACAAAATAATGACAAATCAGTATAATTAAATAAGTCCTGAGAAAGTAAGAAACCAGCAATAAAATATAATTGTTAAATGTTTGTTATGCTTCCAGGTAGTAATCAATAACATTTGAAAAACTATGTGTTTTCAATAAAAAGTTCTGTAATGAAATTTACTGTATTAATGTAAAATGTTGAAAACAAAAATAATTGTTTCTAACAACAAAAACTCTTATAAAATACATTCTAAGTAGTAAAATTATTACATACTTTTTATATAGCATTAGTTCCTATTTTAATATATTTGTGTAAATTTACTTCATTATGGTATTTTATGCAGTATTTGATTTTAATTTTAGAGGTGTCTTAGTTCGTTCACTGATGCAAGCCCAAGCTGTATCACCAACATTTACTCACGTTTATGCAGCTGTGGCTGCTGTTATAAATACAAAGGTGTGTTTTTATTGCTATGTCTATTAAAATTAGTCTGTATATCAAATGTACAAATTTATCTCTTTATAGTTTCCTCAAATATGTGAACTATTATTGAGAAGATTAATAATTCAATTTAGAAAAGGTTATCGAAGAAATGATAAGTTAGCTTGTGTTTCATCTACCCGTTTCATTGCTCATTTAGTTAACCAACAAGTGGTAAGTAACATTTATTTTGTGTTTTAATATTTTAAAGTTATTAATAATTAAATAAACTTTTCTGAATTTGGAGAATTAATATAGTATATGTTTGCATGATGCTAAAATTTTTAACCTCCTAGAAAATCTTTGTCTGCAAATGCAAAGTTCAGTTTTTCTATTTTTAATGAAATTTTTTTTGTTTAGTAAATTACAAGCAGATTGAGATACTTTTGCTTTAATGTATGTAGCATTGTGCAAAGGAATGAACGGCCAGTTTAAATAGTATTGAATGTCAGCTTGTTTGAATAACAAATGTAATTAAAATATTTAATTTTTTAGTAGATACATATATATAAACTTTCCCTTCCATGCTTGAACTTTCTAAGGAAAACCATCTGCTGGATGAACTAGGGTAACAAATATCATGGAATCATATATATATATAGGTCTAATAAGCTAATATCTAGATTTGTGTAAAATTTAAAACTTCTAAATTATAATTAAGTTTAAAAATTAAATTATGTTATGCCAAAATATGATGTTTTAATTGGTCTTTATGTATTCTTTTAGGCTCATGAAGTATTGGCACTAGAAATATTAACATTACTTTTGGAAAATCCTACTGAAGACTCTTTAGAAATGTTTGTTGGCTTCTTAAAAGAGTGTGGACAAAGATTAACTGAAGCATCAAAAGATGCAGTTAATGGTAAAGCATACGTTACATTAAAACTTAAATTTGTAGTAAATTTTATATATATAAAATTTTAAATAGCAGTTGTTAGAAGATTGTGATAAATTTGATTTCTCTGTTTTGAATTTAAATTCTTCTAAAATTGAAGATAACTTGCATGTTAAATTTTAAACCAAAGATGGAAATTTTTAAAATGAGCAAAACTATTGAATAGTTCATTGGGCTGCAATTTGAAAAAAATTGTAGACATATAAATTTCCGCTATTGCTGTTTGTCTGTACTGCTTANGGTGTGGTGATGTGTTTAGTTATAACCAATAATTTTCAAATTTATTTAATTGCTTGAAAATATTAAATTCTTCCTAATATTCTTACTTTCCAAATATAGAACACTTAAAATTTATTTTTTAACAAAGAGCAGCAATTCTGAAAATAAATTTCCAAAGAAGAGAAAATACACATTTTTAATAGAAAATAAATAGACATAATAGAGAGATTGCGGCCGACGTTTTCATCGGGGAAATGTGTACATCGGACGTTCAGCGCCACATTCCTGTAAGCCTAGAAGTTTGACAATGGAGTTTGGAACGTCAAGAATGATTCCACTGACGTTCCAAACACCATTATCAAACTTCTAGGCTTACAGGAATGCAGCACTGAACGTCCGACGTACACGTTTTCCCGGTGGAAACGTTGGGCACAACCTCTCTAATGTGTTAGCCTATGTTGCTTGCAATTTTGTGTAGTAAAAAACATGTTTACTTTCATGTTTTTGGATCAAATTACAATAATAATAACATGAAAAAGTGCTTTTGGCATTCCACAAGTATTTTGCATCATTAGAAAGAAGACAAAATGCAGAAATTAAATATATAATTGTAATTTTTGATGTAATGCTGATAGTTTCACAATTTTAGAATAAAAACTGACTTCTGTGACATGCAACATGACATAAGTCGTTTCATTTTTTTTAATGCACCCTCTGGAGAGGGATGTATAACCTCATAAACCAACATGCTGGTTTTTACCATAAGAAAGTATCTGATGTCATGTTTTTCCCAGCTAGACCAACATGCCGGACTATTATTATTGTTATGAACAAAATACACTTGACAATAATCATCTAATGATTGACAAACTCCAATTGGATGTGTTTCAGCAAAGGATGCAATTGCATTGAGAAGTCTCGATTCAGTTTCCATGCCTACTTAAAAGGTCTCAACTTTATCTATCAGGCAAAGCACTTACATATCATATGAAATGTTTCTGACATTTTCTATCATCACAATGATTTGAGATAAATATTTGACTTTATGTAATTTTTAAAACTAATGGCAAGACTGCATTGCTTATGAACAACAATTTGTCCGTGCCTGATATATATAAAATAAAAAAGGTTTTATTTAATTTCTCTGATATTTCAGTGAATGAGACATAAATTTCTGTTTGAAAATTAGATGCAACATTTCATTTCCAATNTTATTGTTATGAACAAAATAGACTTGACAATAATCATCTAATGATTGACAAACTCCAATTGGATGTGTTTCTGCAAAGGATGCAATTGCATTGAGGTCTCAATTCAGTTTCCATGCCTACTTAAAAGGTCCCAAGTTTATCTATCAGGCAAAGCACTTGCATATCATATGAAATGTATCTGACATTTTCTATCATCACAATGATTGAGATAAATATTTGACTTTATGTAATTTTTAAAACTAATGGCAAGACTGCATTGCTTATGAAAACAATTTGTCCATGCCTGATATATATAAAATAAAGTTTTATTTAATTTCTCTGATATTTCAGTGAATGAGACATAAATTTCTGTTTGAAAATTAGATGCAACATTTCATTTCCATTCTAATTAAAGTGAACATTTGCAGTTTTTCTACACTGCATGTGTATATATAAAAATACATTTTTAAAATCCAATTGGGAGAAAAATACAAAAGTTTCTAGCATTTTGAGCCATTTTATAAAATTACATAACTTAAATTTTAAATCATTAATATGTTATTTTTAAAAATAATTTGATACCAATTACAGTAATATACATTGAAGATAAATAGTCTAATTATGCATTACTTTAATAACTGTAGTAATTTCAATTTGTTTTATTTTTATTAGCCATATTTGATCGTTTAAGAAGCATTTTGCACGATGCAAAGGTTGATAAGAGAGTGCAATATATGATTGAAGTAATGTTTGCAATAAGAAAAGACAAGTTTAAGGTAACTGTTTCTAAATATAATAATAATTATTCCAGGAACTATTTTGTAAACAGTCTGCGAAGAAATTATAAGACTTCTTGATTTTTTTTGTTTTCTCAAAACTAACAATGTGTAATGTTCAATTACTATTCTCAACAAAGTAAATACAATAAATAATCAACAGTCACTTTTTCAAAATTTGACTTTTGTAAAACTAATAACTAAAATGTGTTATGATTGCCAAACTAATTATTTTTGAATAATTAGTTTGGCAATCATAACACATTTCAGTTATTAGTTTTAAAAAAGACAAATTTGGACTGTTAATAAATTGTAAGACTACCATGAGAAGAAGGTGGGGGAATGAGAAAATTTAATATCGTCCTCTTTCATTACTCTTGTCTCATTTATAGCATATTTGAGAGAAATTGTGATGGCAAACAATGTTAACTAATTTTGTTATTGTCAGTTTGTGTTGATTCAATTTGGTTTATATTTAGCTTCTCCTACCTGTAATATGGATCTTACAAAGGTAGGATTATCCAGCAAATGCTGACTTCTAACAAGTGTTTTNACAGGTATGGGACCAAAGGTGTGTCAGATTACCAAAAGTGTCCGGATTACCGAAAATAATTACATATTTCGCATTGTTTTGCTAGCAGTAACTTACAATATTCTCTACTCCAACTGTTTGAACAGAACTGCTCACATAAAACACACAAAATGTGTGTCATCGAGTAAGAATTGGATGGGGAGATTCACATCGCGACATGCTTCTGTGCAAGCAGACACGTAATGGGGATGGGTACCTTGACGGGAGGTGCGTCGGACTACTGAGCATGTCGGATTAAAAAACGTCAGACTATCGAGGGACAACTGTATTGTGCTTTTTTGTCTCCCAACAAGTACAATATAACGAGGGGTGACGATAAATAAATTACAGAAATACAAAACAAGTAATTTTATGTCCAGAATCATTTTGTTTACATCAGAAGTTTCTCTTACAGATTATAAAGCAGTGAAAGAAATCTAATATATTTATTTTAACATAATGCACAAGAACAAGTGACAATTTATCAGTTTTGATTGAACATATATTTATGACCAGAAAAGAATGAAAACTTTTAATTTTTAACTAATATATAAATAGCTTGTTTATTATTTATTATATTTATTTGAAATTATTTTTATTTTTCAGAAGAAAGTCAGACGATAATTGATAATACAGAAACAAACTTAGTTTCTTTGAGGAGAACGATATATCTTGTAATACAGTCAAGTTTAGATTTTGAAGAATGTGCTCATAAACTACTTAAGCTCGAGCTTCAGCCAGGTCATATTGTAAGTTTAATTATAAATTGAATATATATCTTACAAAACTCTGGAAGTTTGTTTTCCAGAAAATTGATATGTAATATTTCAATTTATATGGAAAACAAATTTCTAAACCAAATATTATGTTAAGAAAGATCATAGTAAATACTTTATATGAAAAAATACTGAATTATTATAATAATTATTCCAAAATTTTAATTCTGGATTATGATTATAAATTTCCAGATTAGTAATAATTTTAATGTTGTTTTTTTTTTTTTATTTTTTTATTTTTGTGACTGTTATCAGAAGGAATGTATAATGATCAATTTCTAGATTTAGTGAAATACAGAGGTCAACAAAAGAATTAATATATATATATATATAGATCAAAAATATAAATGAAAATAACAAAAGTGTGGTGGGTTTAAACCAGTTGCTGCATACTATGCCAGACTGGAGTCGAGGCATAGCAACCAAAACAAAACAAAAATTAAATAAGTGTGTCTGTATTCAGGATTTCCTAACAATATGATATGTATTTAGTGGCCTTCTGTTCTGTGATGTATATGTTTCTATTCAACTGTAATGTTCCCAGGCTTTTGTGTAGTGTGTATGGTATGACACCTGTAGAGGAGAGAACGACAGGTATAATAAGAACCCTATCCATCCTCCACAGATGCCATATTTTCTGGGTGAGTTTTGTGTACTTGTTAATTTTATCAGTGGATTTGTTTTGTACATTGTGAGTGTTTGGAATGGATGTGTCTGTAATGTGTGTGATTTTATTGTGTTTGTCAGTGAGTGTAATGTCTGGTCTCTTGTGGTAAATTTTTTTATATGAGATTATGTATGGCTCTGTCATAGTACATTTTGTGCATGTCATTGTCTAATACTGTCTGTGGAATGTATTTTTAGTATGGTTTATGAATGTCTAATAATTTGTTACTTGATTGTCTATGTAAATAATCTATCTGTGCCAAGAGCTTGCAACCAGAAGTGATGTGTTGTATAGTTTCTGGCATGATGTGACATTTTCTGCATGTGTCATTTGTGAGTGTTGTATCTTTGAGTATGTGTTTTCTGTAATTTTTAGTATTTATGATTTGATCCTGTATGGCAATATGAACCCTGTTGTCTTTCCAAAGAGGAATCCTTGAGCTAACCAGCTATTTGATGCAGTTTTGTTAACAGTGTCCTGGGCCAGGTGTAGGGAAGCTTGCTATAGAGTGCCTTTAGAGCCCACGATTGCTTAATGGTCTAAGCTTTTTATATGTTGTCATGTCCATATGATGTGAGTGTAAGTTTAGTGATGTGTTATTAGAGTCTAGTAGAGTTACTGCTTTATGTAACTGTGATGTTTCTTGTTTTTGTAGAAAAACTCTTGCTTATTATTATANGAAATTTACTGCCATGATGAAAAAACCACCACTAACAAAACAACACAAATTGGCAAGAATGCAGTTGGCTAAAAATCACCTGTGGAATGACCAATGGCTCTCAGTTCTTTTCAGTGATGAAAAGAAATTTAATTTGGATGGCCAGATGGTTTCGTTTTCACAAAACTTTCTGAATCACTTGAGGCACGTAGAATCATCAATGGTTCCCTCACCATACACAGAACATATCTTCTTTTCTGTCTGCGAAGCATTCTTGCCTTTTCAGAAATAAAAAAGCATAATCATAATATGTCTAAAATACCCCTGATTTTCTGTCATTTTTAATGCATAATAAAATATAAAAAACAACTAAGTAACACAACTTTATTCTCAAATACTAGCTGAGATCAAACATCAAAATATTACACATGTGAAGGAAATAACACTTCAGTGTTTCAATGCAAAGCCATCTGGTACTAAAAATGAGACAAACTTTTGCATCAACCCAATATAATAAAATCTATTAATTAAAAAAATTAAAAAAACTATTGGATGTCGTTTTTGACATCAGAAAATAGCTTTAAATAACTTTAACAAAGTAAAATCCGTGCACTAGAACTTTAGAACGACAAATGTAATTTGATATTAAAAAGCCATAAAAAATAATTAAGTGTTAATCGCGTGTCATTAAAGGTTGATTAAAATTGCAATAAAATTTTAATAAAAGTAAAGTTAAATTATGGGAAATTTATGAGTAAGTTTTGAGGAACCTTTCATTGAAGACTGTGAGCTTTGACTGCATTATTACNTTTTATTATTATTATTTTTAATATTAAGTATTTTTTAACAATGCGAGTGATTATTATTGTTTATTTATAGCATAATATTATATAATTGTTTTTACAATATTTGACAGTTACATAAAGTGTTAAACACAAAATACTTGTTTTGTAATGTCCCAAAAATGTAGATAAATTTAAACTTTGAGCAATAGTTCATAACATAAAATGATTGAAATTGTTTTAATATGAAATAGATATGTTGTTATGTTTAATGGCTTCAAAAATGTGATTAGGCATTGAATTAATTAAATTGTAAGATTTCTGGATCCATTTGAAACCAACATTCAATGATTTATTGTTTAAGCTCTGAAACTCTCATAAAACACCTGTTATTAACACAAATTTTTTGAGCAAGGATGCACCCACAAGTTCTCAATCAGATTTATGTCCTGGCTTTTTGCTGGCCACTTAGTTGTTGAGCGTAAACAATGAATACTGGCATTGTCCTGTTGGAAAATACAATCAGGTCCTCCAATTTCTTCTCCAATAGGTAATAAATAAATTTTTATAACTTCTTGATAACTTTTAGATGTCTGTCTACTAGTTAAAATCACTAAATTTATAAACCATTAAATTCAAAGCAGCCCCACACCATAACAGAACTACCACCCTTTTGCCTGCTGAAAAAACTGTGCTCTTATTTCCTAATATCATGCCAGTAATGAGCCCATTCATCTAGCCATCCAAATTAAATTTCTTTTCATCACTGAAAAGAACTGAGAGCCATTGGTCATTCCACAGGTGATTTTTAGCCAACTGCATTCTTGCCAATTTGTGTTGTTTTGTTAGTGGTGGTTTTTTCATCATGGCAGTAAATTTCATATGTGGAACTGCTGAAATTCTTTGATAAACAGTGCTTTTTGATATTTTTAATTTGCTTTCAAACAAAATTTGATGAACTGATTTATCCCTTGTGATGCAAGGCACACAATTCAATTATCATTCGTTTGAGAAGTGATTTTGTGTCTTCCTGATTGATGTTTAGAAGGTTTTGATGATGATTTTCTCAAAATTTTATAAATTCCAGGAGTAGATCTGTTCATTAAAACAGCAATTTCTTTGACACGACAGCCTTCTGCTTTTAATTTCCATATTCTTGCAATTTCTTCCATACTAAACTCTCTTCCATGTGGCATTTTGGAAATATTTGATTCAATATTCAAATTATTATTTGACAACAAAGTTAGTGTGTTACTTGACGTTATTTATTATTATTTTCATAATTTTAAGTTTCTTATGCTTAAAATTTTACAATTCTGTTTTATTATCTATACTTTTGGGACAGCGAAAAAGCATATTTTTGTTGTTAAATTATTAATATAATGATATTTAATTTTGAAATTATCAAAAATTAGTGTAAAGTAATTTGCATATACAAATGAAATCATTTAGATTTCTCTTAAATTCCTAACAATTCTGAAAAGTAGAAAAATGTTGATTATCTATACTTTTGGGATGTGCTGTATCTAATAAGATGAACATACATTTTATTAAACTGACATCATATTACGCATCACTGGGTTTAAAGATTGATAATGTTGATACAGTTATGCTCAAAATGTGGATTTTGAATATTACATTAAGAAATAAGATTACACTTGCATACTATCCTTTGGCACAGATGACAACATCAAATGACCTTGGCATTGGTTTGACAATTCTTCAGGAACACTGAAGGAATCTACAGTGATGCATTTTGAATAGCGATGCTCAGTTCAACACTTGAATTGTAGAGGATCAGTAACTGAAACACACTGTTTTATTTCATCTTACGGTGCTCCACAGGATTCAAACCTGGGGAGTGAGAGATCAGGCGATTGATCTCAAGTTCACTCAAATGCACTTCTCGCCACTTCTGGACACAATGGGAATATGCTTGAGGTCTCATTTTGTCCTGTCAAAACAGTTTTGTGTCAGCCAAGATGAGGAGGTGCGAAATGGATACAGGTGGTCTGCTGAAGTGCCCACATACCTACAGTTTGATATCCAGATAAAAAAATAATAATCTGAGGTGTTCATTTTTATGGCAAAAAGCTTTTCTATGACAAGAAAGAATTTTGTTTATTTTATTTTTATTTTTAAAATGTTGAAAATAAGTTGTTGTATTGTATTTTTAGGTTGAATTATGTTACATGATTTTGGATTGTTGTGCACAACAAAGGACATATGAAAAATTTTTTGGACTTCTGGCACAAGTAAGTAATGCATTGTTTATGAATATTAATTTTACACTAAACTCTTTCTCGTTTTGAATTAGAAATTGGAGTTTTACAAAATATCACTAGAAACTGTTACTTAATTTATAGAATATTTTAATCTTTAGAAACTTGACTTACGGAAAATATTACATTTGATTTATAAATGCAATAGTTATTTTTTCTTTTCAATGTTATAATTGTTATCAATATAAAATAATTTTATGTTGAATCTAACATTGCATGGACATTTACCATCTTCAATACTTTTTATAAAATCTGATGATAAAAACAGTTATGCATATAATAAGTTTCAAACTTTTAACCTTGCATCTATTTTATCAATGTATCATATTCAGATTTATTGAATTGATTAGATTAGAATTAGTAAATTTCGAATTTATTAAGTCAATTCACCTGCTTCAAAATATTATTTGTTGAAATTATTTCATAAAAATGCTTTCTTGATATATATCAATGTTTTCCTGTAGCATTTAATTTTAGTAATTTAGTAGTATTTTGTATATTGTATTTATAGTAAAAATATTATTACATGTTGATATTAATTGATATTAGACATGAAAAAACTGTTATGCTATAAATGAAAAATGAAATGATTACTTTCTTCTGGTAAAGTGACATTGATGAAGATTGTCTTTGAATTTTTAAAGAATTAGATAGCTTAGAATTTTAGTTCTATTTATATATATGGAAAAGGATATCAAAAACACATTTGTAATCCAATAATTTGAATTCTCAGTGCACATGCACATCTATAGGTATATATTCTGTATAGTTGATATTAGAATTTTAAGGTGTAGTTGTATTTTACATCATTATTTTTAAAAAGTGGACAAAAGAAAATAATAAGAATTTTTCATCTGTTGTTGTTTTTGTTTAATCACAAAGAATTCATTGAATTTTGTAATTTATTCTTAAGATTCAATAATTCATATAAGTATTAAACCTTAAACTATTTTAATTTAATGATTTCTGTATATAATGATTAAAATAATTGTAAGTATTGAATTTAATTTCAGAGGTTTTGTCAATTGAACAAAATTTATGTTGAGCCTTTTGAAGATATTTTTAAAACAGCATATGACACTATTCATCGTTTTGAAACTAACAAATTGAGAAATGTGGCTAGATTTTTTGCCCATCTGTTGTATACTGATGCTATATCATGGTTGGTGAGTATCAGAATTTTTTTGTATGTCGGTTTAATTTTCCAATATGTTGTTTTTTGTTGATTTACTTTGATTTAACATTAGAA